TATTTTATTGCACAGGTAAAAATAATAGTACTTCAAGTTATTTCAGAACAATCGATAAATCGTCTCCAACACCATTTGTCTTGAGCATAGAAAATGGTTATAGGCTTTAACTTTTTCTTATCAGCATGATATATTTTTCAATACTTTTAACAGAAAAACACTGAAGTATTTCTTAATGTTGTTGACAGTGTTTTTTGGACATCAATGTATAATGAATATAAAAATGAGATCGAGTACGTAGTCGTTTAAGCTTGTCGCCCACTTGTCTGGCACAGCACGACCCGTCCCGTCAAAATACGGATGAATGGACAACCGCCCACTAGCCCGGCACGGCACAGCACAGAGCGTCCGCCGCCGGAAAGGATTCCAGCTCTCCGATCCTGTCCGGCAAATAACGGTACGTGCTGTGACGGACTGGCCAAGTGAGCGCGTCGCCGGTCAGCGCTTGCCAGCATCAATTTGTCCAAATGTGCCTGGAAAGTTTCTGTCTCTCTGTTTTGCTATTCCATCAGTTGATAACACAGTGTCAGATGGTACCTATGAAAATGGACGAGGAAAAGTGAATTGCTTCTTAAGGCAGGTTTTAGAATATCCAGAAGTTCTGAAAATTTGCCTGGAGTCATTCGGAAATACTGGAAAAATTTCTCCGCGTCTTCTTTCAGATGGTTGAAAAGATGATGAAACTCTCCCAGATTTGCCCTCTTTTAATTAATGGGATAGACCTACAACATTCTTTTTTGTGACTATTTTCTTCTATATTCAATAATGCGGCCAGCATAATGACGACTTCTTCGTCAAAACTGCTAGTGATAGACATGTTTCTGTCACCGCTCGATGTCAACTGAAACTCCCTTGAAATCGAACAAACAGCACCTTCAGTATCCTGGTTGTAGCTGGACAAGTGGGCGATGCTACTACCCGTCGCCATCAGGCGACGGACAGCGTCGTGCTCTGCTGTGCCGGACAAGTAGGCGATAAGCTTAAATGTTCTCTGATTTTTTATAATTCAGAATTACTTCAAAACTTTTATTTATACGTAACTAATCAAAAACTGTTTTATCTTCTAAGGATTCTACCAGTTGTCGCTGATCATTTTCACCCTCTGAATTGGAGAGTAATAAATTCCTAAATATTTTTGAATTATTAGACTTCTACTGAAACCAGTCACATTGTGTAAATGATTTAATGAAGACTGTCAGAAAGTCGAATTATCTCTCAATACTTGGAATCAACAATTATTCCTACTTTTTTTTATTGTGTGGTTGCGACAGGTTCCCGCAAGTTGTTGAAAGATTATGTTCTCAAATTTAGAAATGGGTGGCTATTTTCGATTGTTTTAATACTGAATTATTATTCAACAACTAATATTCCATCACTGATGATTATTTGATGTATTTGCAAGGTTAGAGGAGGTATCTTTCGAACTTTCTTTTCCATTATACTTTAGTGCAGTTTCCAGTACGATGTTTCTATCGCAAAACTCAATACTGAAGTCGTTTAATTATTGTGACGATCTCACCCAGATCTCCAGGTCTCATAAGCTTAGCCCCCTTTCTTACGGGGGTGATTAGCTTCTGCCCAAGAATTTTACAGGCAAGTGCAGAAATATTCAATATTCAGAATATTGGAAATATTCTTTAACGTCACGACGAATACTTTCAGCAACTAGAATCTAATTTTTCCACCTAATTAAAATATTCTAATAGTTATTAAATTGAGTGTGTTGCGGTAATTGCCATCGAATACTTTTACGTATACATGGTGAAGAAGATATTTTTTCGCCCAGATTACCACCGACAAGTTTGTTAAATTTGACTCGACAACAAATTATTAATTAGTTTGGTGTCGAGTTATATTCAATTCCGTTTCATTCAACTTTATAAATTTCATCCATGCCGTGGTGGCATAATTCACAACTATATGTTCATATGTTTCTTATGGTTATTAACTTATTCCATCCAGTCAGTAATCGCTGATAGCAATTATTCTCGTAAGTCCTTAGCTCGCACAAGTTACGACTTTAGAGAGTTGTCGTTCATAAGGGGGGCGACAGCCGGTTAATGGAAAAACAGATTTCAGATTTCAAACAGATCCATTTTCGTATACTTTAAAGTATGGTAGTATGTCTTGGAAATGGAAATAAATATTGTAAATTTTTTAAAGAAGCTTTTTCACGGGTTTGTTCGTCGGGATCTGTAGGTTTTCATGTCTGACGTTTCATCTATTACAGTCGTATACATTATCAAAGACGATCAGACGAAGTACTCTGTTGTTTCCACGGGAAATATGTATTTCCTTCGATACTGTCTGTCGCAATGGTAGACGAAACATCAGACATTAAAATCTGTCAACCGTAGACAACAAACCCGGAAAATAGCATGGTCACAGTCGCAGTGGTTTACACTCTTTGATCATTGTAAATGTTGTTCAGTTGTAGACCTGTCATTACTTGACATTGAAAAAGTCAGTTAGTGAATTAAAATTTTACAGGGATGTTACCCATCTGAATAGATTGCACTGTATCTCATGAAAATGTTACTCTTCTATTGCTTCGAATACAAAATGTACACAAACCCAGAACTCGTTATTTTTGTTTGTCATCGATGGTGTTGGTACCTAGGGCATGTCCCTCGTCTGATACTTGCTGGTGTATAAGTGGTGCTGGTACTTGGGTAGATAAACGGAGTGTGCAGCCCGGCTTCAACGTGTCCTTCTGGCGTCTCCTCGACTAGCGCCCGAGTGCGTCCAGATCCACCTCGCAGGTCACGATCCCAAGGTACTCGCAAACTTCACAAGTGCCTCTCGACGGCTAGCTACTCTGAGGAGGGGTGCCACGCACTAGGTCCCCCGACTGCGCCCTCTCCCGCCGCCCAGCGACAACAGTTGATGGTCGCTCGCCAATATTGCAGTTTTGGTAGTACACAGTCACCGCGCAATTTTTTTCACTAGCCGATTTACGGTTGTTCAGTAAATCGCTTCCCCTCACATGCACACACAACGTTCCAGATAAAGTAATGTACGATACTGTTCGACTGATGTCGTTAGCGCATTGCGTGTGCGCATTACGTGGTTCGCTGTAGGCCGGCCTTACGTGTTTTTATTAAGGCAAATTGATAAAAAAATATTACTATTGCAAGAGACGCACTGCGCTAATGGCTATCATTCTTCTCTCATGATGAGACTTGGAACCGTTACATTACTTTATCATCTCCTTTACCGAGGTTGAAGCGGGTTGACCAGTTCCAAGGTTGAAAAGCACCAGTTCAAATTACAATGTGAATTAATAACGGCTAGATTTTTTAAACTAGGCTAAAGTGTATATTCATTTGCGGATTTCTATATTTCAGGACCAGTAACAAAAAACAACTATATGAATCCTAAAAATACAACAATTACTGTTAAAACTGAGTCACTAAGTATGTCACAAATATGTTGGTAGTCTTAGCTGAAAGCAAGGAATTCACAAAAAAATTAATTTTTGCTATATGGCATATTCATTCATGTATAATTTCAAACATTAGTGTTTTTCTGAAAACATAAAAGTGCCCCAAAAATATTTTATAATTCAATCCTGAAATCGTCCTACTGCTCATAACCCATTCTACCTATACCTACCCATATTTTTTGAAAATATTCATTATGAATGTCCATAAATGTCATAGAAAAATGCGAAGAAACCACATTTTTTGACATTATGAGAGTAATTTGTATCAGCTTCTTAAAGTACATTTTATACTTTTAGAACAAAAAATTCTTTGCCCCTACATAAACTTTTGACCTGGTTCAGATACTCTTCAGTAGTAATATGTGGAATATGAATTTCTGATTTGAGAAAACCAATGCAGAAATATCGAGTTTTGATAACCTTGCGGAACCACGGCAGTCGATCCGTCACTGCATCTAAAGAGTTTTTAACTTTTTGACATAATGTATCTGTGTTTCGTTGCATCATGTAACAGCTAGGACGAATTCGTGCTAATTTTGCGTGATAACATCTTCAACAGATGCAGTAATCATCGTCGAGTTTTAATAAATTGTTTCCAATAATCCTATTGTGTACAATTCCAATTTTATGAAGAAAAAATATATTTTCATTATTGAAACAAATGTTTTGAATTCCCTTCATCTCGGGATTTTTATTTAATGTGAATATTTTTAAAATATAAAATAAAATCTGCGTTAGAGACAGTTCGAACTTCCATTATACGGAATGGTATTTACCAATATTGATTGTTCATTTCAACGTCTACAGAAAACACTGCCAAAGAACATATCGAGTTATTCAATTTTATATGTCGAACCTCTGCATCCTCTGCATAATGAACTGACTGTCAAACATCTGACATTTCACGACAATATCTAGGAATATTAAATATTAGTGCAGTTATCCCGAACACATTTCATTTTGTATATCGAATAACATGAGTCCTCTAAATTTTGCAAAAATATCTTTACAAGCTTATATGCTTATATAACCTTCGAATTAGTTTTTTTTATTTGTTGTACAGGGCGAGAAATACATCATGCTCAGCAGAATAGTGGACTTGAGAAAAGCACAAGATCTTGTTTTTCCGATGGTGTCCGCCGAAAGTAATTTTTTATATTTATTCGAACACTTGACTTTGTATCCATAACTTTGAAAAAGTAGATTCATTTTAGGTTTCAGTGTTGTACAGGACATTCTAACTATTTCAGATTAACTTTCGGTGTACAATACTTGCAATATAATTTTTTTCACATATAGTGTGTAGATATCTTATCGAACATACTATTTCACCAAGTTTGTAGTGAGTAACTAACATTATTTTACTGTGTCGAAGACAATTCACTAACTTACCTGGTTGCACTTAACTTTTAGTCTTGTACTTCCTAGAATAGAATATATTCAGGGTGTAACAAATTGAAATACCTGCTTTTGCACTAATAAAACGAAAACAGAAATGTTTCAGTATAAAAGGAAATAACGTTACATTGGCTTTCATATTAAGAATTTTTTCTAGGAGATACAAGAATGCCAAAAGTACTTACAAATTGTTCATGTATTTGTGAACCAGGTAAGCATATTTTAACTATGTTTCCTATTAAAGGCCACTATATATTCATATCTTTCTTAACTGAATTGGGAAGTGACTTTTTGTAACTAATATCACCTTGTATATTGGTCAATCTGTGCACCTGGAAATTCCTCTTCCAGCTTTCACTTATTTTCTCATCATCTTAGTTTCATATTCATATTTTCAAGAACCTTCCAATAATATTTGAAAAAAAAAATAGTAAACTCTTTTGGAAATCCCAATGAACATTTTTGAGTTTTAATAATTTTCCAAGTTAGTTTTCATATTTGTAAATTCTTATCACAAAAATCTGTATATAGAAATTAATCACACTGAATCTTCTCTAATCTAACTTTCGTAATGAAGTGAATGGTTTTGGGAAATCAACGAAACTAGTTGAAATGTTTATGAAACATTTTTCTACTGACAGCTATTCCTTTCTTAGGAAAACGATTTTGGCAAACTGTTTCTACAAAGGTGATCAGAAACATTCATTTCATTTACTTTTCCAATGCCACTATACTTCTAAAACATTTTGAATCGTACTGAACACTCTATTAGTTGTCTGTTGTGTAGCAACCACTGATTCAAAGTGATTTTTCACATCATCTCAACTTCGTCACTAGTATGATCTGATCATTAGAACTACATTTCTATTTCTTTCTTTTACTCTTTAGTTGTATTGAGACAGCAATAGCAGTATCAGTTTTCGTATAAGTTGGAAAAAACTATGCATTGTTTTTAGACGACTAGTTTGTTGTAGATTGTTGAAAACACACAGTAGTTTCTTCGTTAAAGCTACTTCACTCGTAGAACCCTGAAAAGTTTAAAAAATTGAATATTTTACTGTTAATATATCGGTGCTTATATCATTTATTGATTATGTACCATATAGCACTCCAAATCTCACGACTTTTCCCTTAGTCAAACAATATGATTACGAACAATTGATCAGCTATATTCACAATTGTAACAGAACTCCCGAATGACAATTTTTTAAACGACAATGTGGATTCTTAACTCTAAATGTAACTTTTGTTTTTTACATCACGTTATAATTTTTTTCAGCATGCCATTGAAATGGTGACTTGTACTTCCAAACCTGTATCTAACTTGAATTCAAAATTGATCTTTTGCAAATCTGTGTTCCCAACTGTGATGCTTTTTCCATTCTGTTCTATTATAAACGTCTCCTTCTTCATGTTGAATGTGCTGAAAAATATGTCCATTCTAACTTGTACATAATCAGTTCAGACCACAGATTATGTTGGTCAAGAAAGCCTTTAAATGTTGTTAAATTTTTGTTTAGTTCTTGACAATTTCAGTTTGTGCTTTTTGCACGTCTTGTTGACATGAACTCTACTCCCGAGTTACTTTTCATTTTCTTTTGTTGTTTCTTTATGTATCTTTTGTCCAACAAGATATACCCAGAATTCTTTTCAAACTAGCGTATTTTTATAAGTGATCAGTTAAAAATATCGATATAACCCAAAAAAATCTAATTGAATAATTTATTAGAATATTTGTGAAATTAGAATATATGACGTCAGAAAATACTGCAACAATTTTGATACTTAACAATCTATAATTCTGAAAATATTTACATTCAATCATAGTTTGAGGATATATAAATTATATAAATTAGTGAATATTTTTCAGATGATTTTTTGACGTTTGTCGAACTGCCTGGTAACTTTTTGTTTATGTTTAAACAGACAAAATGTTCATATATGTGTCTTCTTTTTGACAATTAATTCGGTTGTCTGACGTGATAGACTTATACCCAGTTGTAGAGGGCTTGAATGGATATTGCTGTATATTTTACCACTGGATACACTGACTAGATAATTAAAAAATCACAGCGATTTGATATCTGAAAATTCAGGACAAGAAGTAAGTAATTCGTAATGATCTATTCATTCAAAAAAATGTCAACTCCCCACTTCTGGTTATATCGGAAGTTGGTCACAACTTTCTCATTTCAAATGGAATAATACCTACTTACAAGTATGGATTTTTTAAATTCGGACGATAATATTTCTGTTTTGCATAAATTTCGATATTAATGACATTTTTTCAATCTATGCATGTCCACACAATTTGACTTCAATGCAAGAGGTCGTTATTCAATATTTTGAACCTTTCATTGAACCTTCAAGAATTCCAGGAAAAATATTGTATATAATTTCCCATACTTGAAAATAACAATTCCAAAAATATTCAATGATTCAGAAATAATGCTTTGAAGAACTGAAATAAAACACATAACACATTCTCTACTTATCTTGAAAATACATGCAGATCCTAATCCAACAAATGCTTGGAGATTACTCCGTTTTGCTGCATACATTTATTCACTATTTTCTGAAGCGAATGGTTAGTAGTTCACTGTGCCTGAGTCAAATTATTCCTAGCGGTTAGTCTTAACTTGTAGACTTTGTCTTCAATAAAACTCTTAAAAATAGTCAGATAACTCTGGTGAAAAAGATGGGCATAGGTGTGTGCTTTTATCAACCGACCATCTTTCCAGAATTCTACTGTCTTATAAGGGTAGTGTTCCTTTATATATCAAGTCCTCAGAAAAAGTTCGATATATTCAAATTTAAATACATAATATTCTCCATTAATAATAAATTTCAAATCTCATATCGATAAGTTTTTTTAATTCAATTTCACTAGGACCACGTGACTGGTGCGCGACAAGGGGGCTCAGGGGTGAAGATCTAAGAAGGCTTGAGGGGTGAGGCGGAGTCCCAAGGGGCCCACGCTCTTTGAATCTCTCCGATAATCATTCCATCCTTCTCTGCATCGATTACGTTACACGTTTCTCTCTTCCACTCACTAAAGTATGAATAACGACGCACGACCTTGAAGTGGGTCAGAACCCACCTTGCTCCTCTACTGTCATCACTCGTATATGGAATCAGCCATTTTTGTAACGTTTATTTCCATATCAACAAAATATTTCGAATGAATAATTCATTATCAGTTACTTCTTATCCTATATAAACAGATGTCAAATGGCTACACTTTTCGAAATAAGTCTTACGAGCCTTCGTCAAGAATCACCCTTTATAATGAAGTAGAAGTCTCTCCCTCACAAGCCTTCATCTATTGATACACTCAATATAATGTTTGTTGTCACAATATCAGACACTTCAACCAAAGATAAATGTTATTTAAGTGTTAAACTCGATATCTAATACATACAGCAAAAAAGATAGCAAATATAATCTGATTTACGAATGTACACACAAATAATTCATCATCATAAGTTTTCAATGTGTTCATTATAGGTTACTGAATTATAAAAGTATGCTATTATTGTCACGTGTCGCTTGTGTTCCAAATATTTATCTTGGTAATGTTACTAACTGATTGTCTCGTCTTGCATGTTGTTTCTCGGTTCGAGTGAAACTTGGATTTCTTATTTTGAGCATGAAAAATAAGGATTTCCAAAGTTATATTTTACTTTTAATATTTACTGCTATTGCTATAATATCGCATGAAGATATTTTTTTCAACTAGAAACTGAAATTAGTTTTTTGATGAATGTAACTTTCAACCAGAGAGCTTTTGTTCCGCAGACTTGCCAATTGCATTTTGAATGAGTTGCATTGTATGAGGAAAATTTTATTAGAACAATTTTTTCAGGTTTTCGATCGAAAAAACCCATGTATTTTCCTCATACAAGCAAAGTAAAGAAATCCCCTAAAATAAACCATGATATTGTTTACTAGGTTCAAATATCATATCCTTCATATCATGTAAAGTGATTGACACATGAATCTAACACTGTCACTTCAGTACTTCAAGCACTTTGAATGGATACAGGTTTACAAAACACCGCGTCACCACATCAACGCACAGCTCGATTTGTAGGCATAAAGATTTAGAGAGATACAGATATGGCAACTCTGTTTGTGAGCGACAGATCTCACGCGTGATGTGATAAGATTTTCTTTGCCCTGTCAGACATCTGATGAATTTTTCGGGTACTATATACACAAGGATGTAGATAATGTGTCGAAATGAAACTTGTTTATACCTGCATAAGTTTCATATTTTTATTTACTCGCAAATAAAGCTACTATCTGAAGCTTTCCTTTGCCAAGCTTTCGCTTCTAATGGGAAGCTTCTTCAGGGCCTATAATTTATTGAGATGTGGATTTTTTATGTGCCAATGAATAACATTCCAAATCATACTTTCAGTAAAAATAAGTGAAAGACAATGAATTGAACATATAAACTGACGAAAGAAAGTTAAACATGTATGGATTTTTTTGAATTTGACAAATGTCATACCTTCACATAAATGTCATTTCTCAATGAGCATGATGATTTGATAATCTTTACCTCTAAAGAGAGATTTTCATTATTATTATTATTATGATTTTTTGTGTAGTTCCAGTAAGTTACTGTATATACTGCTGAGATTATCAATGTCAGTTTTCTTATTCATACAATCAGAAGACTTATTAATTTCAACCATTTTAAGAAAAAGGCGTTTGGTTATATTTTTTCTCAACTTACTGGCTTACTTCTCTTAAAAGGATAAGTACGGAAATGACTTGCGTATTGAAGGAAATTCATATAATCAAACAGTTACTACTTGAATAAGCCGAGCATCGAATTTAATTGAATATTTTATGGTTGTCTCTAGAGACCCAGATGAAATTACCTACTATACTGAGCTATAACCTAGTTGATGTTCTAGTAATTCTTGAATTATAGTATTCTTGTGTTATATTGGTGCATTTTTATTTCTAATACTTTATTTGAACCCAGTAAACAATATCCAATATTGAAAATACCTACTAAAATATAAATGTTAACTCACAACTACTAAACAATTTCGTTTTTTTTTCCTGTTGATTAATTCCAGTATTAATTTTTGGAATAATTTCATTTCACTACTCACAAAAGTAATGCCATCATATGTATATTATATTCAACGAAAGTCATTTTTTGTGGAGGAAAAAATCAGTTTTTTATCGACCTTTTTTTGGGTAATTGTTACCTTCCACAATCTGAAAAAATATAAATATAAAAATTATAATGGAGAACTTTATACAAGTGTAGAAGGGCAAACTTTTTAGTTTACCCCGATAAGTTACTGCGTAAAAATCAAAGTATTTTTCACAAAGAAAAATCTTCTATTTATCAGTAACTTGTCGTATTTAACAATTTTGCCTATCAAAGAAATTTCTTAATAATTTTTTTTGATAGGCAAAATTGTTAAAAAATTTCTTAATAATTTTTTTTGATAGGCAAAATTGTTAAATACGACAAGTTACTGATAAATAGAAGATTTTTCTTTGTGAAAAATACTTTGATTTTTACGCAGTAACTTATCGGGGTAAACTAAAAAGTTTGCCCTTCTACACTTGTATAAAGTTCTCCATTATAATTTTTATATTTTTTCAGATTGTGGAAGGTAACAATTACCCAAAAAATGTATATTATGTTATCCCACATATTATATTTTTAAACGAATAACTAAAAGTTACTCTTGTTATCAAGCTGTATCAAGTCCGATAAAAAATTAGTTTAAGAAAAGTTACAAGAAAGATATATTTAACTCGTGTTACCTACAATAACATTATGAAGTGAAATTATCCCATGTAAAAATCATAATCATAACAGTTACTTTTATTCAAACTCTCTTGAATTCTTTATTAATGTTGATGTGTGAAAAAGCTTTTTGCGTGCGCATGTACCATATAGCTGGATAGAGACCTGAAGACAAAGTCAGAGGTGACTACTCATATATTCCAAATACTATTTTCCTCACTGTCATAGTCGCTTTGCCCTTTGTCTTCGGCTCTGATTATTTATGTTTTTTCAATTACATCCGAGCTCAATTACTAAAAGTTTCTTACTTTTATGGGTCGCGTAGACAAGCTTGACAGTTCGTTCTCACGGTCACGATCATCTTCGATGAGCTCGCTGGAGAATATTACCTCGGAGTCGATACAATGTCTAGCATTTGCTGATTCATATACCAAGAAGTCAGGTAAATATGATTAGTTTGTTAAGGTGAATTAATGGGATCAACTGAAGTTACTAAAAAAAGATTTCTAACCTAGTATTCTAATATAATTCAATTCAGTGTGAATTGTTCTCGATAATGATGGATTTCAACATAACGAATACATTCACCTATTTTTATATAAATCTGCTTATTATTAATTACTCGTGTTTGTATGTTATGAATGAAATATTTTCTGTGAGATACAAATATTGAACGATGGTTCCCTGTAAAAAATATATTGCCATAAAATAAGTAAAATATAAGAAAGCAAAGTAAGTATAGTATATATGAAGTCAATTCGAATGGTGTAAAAACTAAATACTTACCGAACATCGGCAGTTTCTTTGAATGGCATGGGCGGCGTGGTATAATTACGAGGTTTAATCATTATTTTTATGTGGAAGGTTTTATAAGGCATTACCAGTAAATTTATCAGTCCCGGTAAATTAGTCTTTCATTTAGCTGTTCGGATTGACTTCGTATAGACTATAATTCAGAACCTCATTCGCCACATGAACTGCAGTACAACCCCAGGAGATCTTCTCTGTCTAAGGTATTTTGTTTATCTTAAAGTAAATTTAAAAGAGGGTCAGCAGAACTACATTCCTGCGACCCAATTTGAAATGATGACCATTTGAAATAATAATAATTAACAAAAGTGTCAATATTAGATGATATTGAAGGATTGTATACAGTTTATTTACACCAACGAGTAACCTGTTGCATTAATATTTCTGGTTGAAATTATTCAACATCAATTTTGAACGAAAATATGGTGGTGAACAAGTAGAATTTTCTATGAATGTATACTGATTCTGTCTCAGAATTGTTAATAAATAAAAACATTTCCGGATTATCAATAAATTCTCCAAAAAAAAAAATTGGATCGATCCCAGAAGGAAATTTTCTCACAATTTCAAGAGTGAATGATAGATATCGTGACTTGTATACGCCATAAGCTTCTACAGCAAGAGGGTGAGAGGTAATTTTCACCATTGGGAACTATAGTTGTCCGGGCGAGGATAGCCGAAATCCAATGGAGAACAAGTTATCTAACAGAACAATTCGTACAAGCCAGTCTCAACTCAACTACACTGTAGATTAATGGAATGACACCTATCATAAAACAACTATTCCCCTGGCTAATACCACGAAGGGAGTTGGAGAGGTGTCCGTGCAGGATTCTTCACAGAAGCAATTCCTGCATATGCTGTTGGCGATAAAACTGCCGGAATCGATTTTTAATCATTGGAACGAGCACACTTGCAGATTGGTTTCGAGCTATATGGCCTCTCGTCAGTGCAAGAGAAATGGAGAAAGTGGCTTCGGAACCAATCAATAATCAATGGTTGCAATTCGGCTTCCGGCCGTGGAAGCTCAAAACATCAGTTCAATTTTCGTATATTTCAGAAATTATCTTTCTTTACCGGCAACATAATTGCATTGATCCTTTTCAGTGAAATATGTAGCAAAATGAAGCAGCTCTCATGAAGATATATCCATTAGGTTATACAGAAATTATTTCAAATTCCATGTGAAGATAACCTATATTTTGAGATTGAAAAATTAATTTTGATCTTGAGTACCCAGCTTACTAACCAGATTGCCCAAAGTCACAAATATGCCTTTTACTACTATAAGGAAATGGGAGAGCAGTTAAGGATGCAGTTGTATAAATTTCTTTCATTAAATTTATACTGGTTAATGCGGTAAAAAATTCAGAAAGCGAATACCGTTTCTTCACACATTCTGGTGTCATCTGATAGTAACATTTTGTTTGTATAAAACATTTAAAAACAGTGAAAATGTTAAACCAATATTTCAAAACATGTAAATGAATACCCTTATCCATGTTTCAATATATTCTTGAAACAAGAAGAAATAAATTCCAAGAGAAATTGGAATAACTAAAACTGTTAATCTTTCATAAAATACTAGATCAATAATATTCATACATCATTTGTAGTTTTGAGTTTGAGTTCAAGAAATGAACTTACTATCCAACCTTTCAATTCAAAATGTGTGAATCTACTGTAGAGTTGTAACTGAGCAACATTTTGAATGTTTTCTAAACTTACACTGAAAAGTAAGTTATCAATAAACATTTTCTTCAACTCCCAGAATATAAGAGAGAATAATTTAAAAACTACACCGCCACAGCTTTTATGAACATTTTCATTTCTTTCTCAGAACCGACAGTTTTGACCCCAACTTTATGGGTGGGCACGAGTTTAGGATCAGTGATAACAATTTTAATTAGCCCACCAGATCCGGACAGCCGTTCCTCGCAACCAGTCGTCGTCTCGCTAGTCGGAGCCACCATCTTCAGGTTGAAGGGTTCAATATTAACGATGTCCTTCTTAGATTGCAATGGCTCTCTGATACCATACTCTTTCGAATCTTGGAGAGACGACCACAAAGAAAAAAGAGACAGTAAGTACCTGCTAATATATTCAGTCGAATATTGAATCGAAAACCGTTATTTCAAAAAGATGGTTAGTAATTTTCACTCCAATATAATATTTGAACAAAATATAAACGAGTTCGGGAGGAAAAAACATATTTCTACACCAACCTAACCTAAGCTAACCTTTTTCTCCAGTTTTCTTATTTTGGCAAAAATTGTATGTATATGTGGTATGATTAATTATGAACAATTCACTATTTTAGAATTTGATTTGAGGAAAAATGGATTTCTATTTTAAAATTGTTGCATTTTAGGACTATCGAGAATAGTTCGTTCGGGAATAATTTATCAACATCAAAGTCACTTCACATCTTCATGGTTAAAAGAGTTTGTACTCCCAAAGATAAGAAATTCTAAATGAACCACAGTCGACAGTTTAAAAAAACTACAGCTAAATATAACCCTGACCACGAATGCCTCACTCAAGATAATTGAAATTACTAAAAAGTAACTATACATAATTGTTTCGGAGGACGGTTTCCTGAAACCTTGAATTCTATATTCATCAAAATGTCAAAGAACTTTTTAGTTTTTTTTTTCATTATTTTTTGAGTCTATTGAAGAAGAAAAATCACTGAAAGGGTACTAATGGAGCTATACCGAAATATGGACTTGATAACATCCAAGCTTTAACTGAAGCTTTGTGATGCACTGATATTATCCAGAGTCTCTCACATGAAACGACCCTGAAAAATTCAAAACAACTGTATACGGTTCTCTTATGGTGTAAGGAAGTTTAATCACATCTCAGGTAAATTTGAGGAGTCTGACTGGCTCAGACTGATTAAAATTAGGCAACTCACCTTCTTGTTACAACTCACAAATGTATTTCTCAAAAAAAAGGTCACTGTTTATTTGAAAGATACGGTATATTTGAAACACAGAGTCAATCTAAAACCAGAAATCGTGGCAAATTTATCATCCTCAAACACTCCACAGCTTGTTCCACTCGAAGTTTTATATATAATTCAGTTATACTTTATAATGCACTCACAGTGAGTTCAGACACTACAAGTTATATAACTTCAAGAAGAAATTGAAACTGCACTTGAAATTAGCTCGATAGTTCAATTGGATGCCGTTAATTATCTTTTTTGATATGTTGCAGGGTTTTTTTTTGTTTTTCTGCTTCTATTTTATTTTTTTTTTTTTCTATTTTTTGTTTATCTTTCCAATATTCTTTTATAAGTTAACTATTTGAATGTCTGTGTATATTTGTTGCTCGGACTCTACTGAACTCCAAATTGGATGAACCAATTAATAAAACATATTTTTCTCTGAATATCAATCTGACAGTAGATAATTGATAATTATTCATGCATAGAACTTGAATGTTATAATAAGATACAAGATGCTCTAATATGAAACCCCAGTGAAGTCACTTCCAAGTTCATAATAAAAAACTCAATAAGTAAAACACAAAAGTTCTCGAAAAATATCTTTGAAGTCTGTCCAGAAAAAGTTTCATTTTGTGAAATTTACATAAATGACCTTGAATAATCTTAGTTATTTGTTCTTGTATTTAATATGCTCAAAGTTTTCTTCAATGTGATTTAATTTCCTAGGAACTCCTACGAGAAATCAGAATAGCAGAATGAGTCCAACGCTGAGTGGAGGGGAGTGTATAAGTAGGAGTGACAACTCTTCAGACAGGCAGTTTGTTGTGATAGCCAGTGAGAAGCAAGCGAGAATAGTAGCTCTCCCATCTCAAACCTGCGTGTACCGGCAACAACTTGCCGATAGCGATTTTGTAGTGAGAGCAGAGGTCATTTCTTTGAGGGGTCAGTGAAGGCACATTGGGTAGTTTAGAAATTATAAAAATTTATTTTTCAGATAGCGTATGCTTAGTTACATATGTTTCCAATGGCCATCTCATGGCATATAGTTTGCCAAGCTTGAGGCCGTTGCTAGATATCGATTTTTTGCCATTATCCGAGCTTAGGTAAGAAACTACCGATTTGAGAGCGTTTTAGGGTTATGATCTTTCTTAAAAATTACAACACAATTTTAGCTGATGCCGCACCATTGTTTTCCAGCATTGGTTTTAACTTTTCAACTATTAATGCATGACAAATGTTGGTGGATCGTTAATATTTCACACAATATTCAAAATCAATCCACATTCTGTATCCGAGGTTCGTAATTGCGAAATTATCCCAAACGTGAATACAACCTCGAATATATTTCTAGCCAAAATATTAATTGTACAGATTTTCAAATAGCACCTCCTAATACCGTCATAACCTAAATGTTAGATGGCTAAACATATTTGAAACCTTTCTAATACCTAGTTGCTTCTAATTTACCTATGTTACCCTGCCAGTTTCCAGACACAATCTAACAAAGGCATAGTAGACCCAATGTTATCCATTTGGGGACAACAACTCATAATTAACGAGGATACTGACCAGTAAGTTCAATAATTTGGACCCTATATATCGAATTAATCTTGCTTTTACTCAAAAAAATGTATTCAATTAACACATAAACGCGTGTGAAATGAATTAAGAAACACTTTTCCTTTGTTAATATCTGCATTTCGCAAATATAGAATGAACACGGGACAATGAAAACGAGTTACTATTTTTTAAAGTCGAAAATTGTCCTTTCACCAAGGACATTGTACTGGACATTCATTGGCATGCTTGAGCGATACATTTATATTTGGGAAGCAAGATTGACAAAGGTGGATCAATGAATCATTCAGGGGCATGCTGTACAAGAATAATCTTAACTAAAATATATACAAGATTTTTATCACAAAATAACAACCAGTTTCAAAGACTTTTTATGCAGTCATCCTTTTTCCAGGGAGCTGAAATATGCAGGATATTTCATTCGAATAAAATACTTTTGTTCACCCTCTAGTTTTGGGACTTGCTGAAATAGTTATTTATTATACAAGGGAAAAAAGTATTAGATTTTAGCTCGAGGTTGTGTTGTCATCAGAGATAAAATGTCAAACTTTTTTCCGTCACAGAAAAAATAGTGTTTATATACAAAAATATATCAACGCATAAACCCTTTTCACCTTTTGTTCGATCTTTGAGAAAACTAATTCTGGGGGTTTTCATTAATGCTATAAAATCTAAAACACTGATTTTCGGAACTTGTCTGTCTGTCTGTCATTGCGTTTGGGCGCGCTAATATTTAAAACGATTTCACCGATTTGGGTGCAGGTTTCAGTAATGTATTATGGTAAGCTTCACTAAACATTTATTCTTTGAGTTATTTCAATCGGTTCATAAATAAAAAAATTATTTCATTTTGAAATATCACGTCAAACATTTGTTGTAAAAAACTACTATGAAAATATTGTCCGGTTAAGTCAGCTGAAACTTTGGTTAACTATATTTATAGTTTGTAAAATGATTTCTCTCGATCATTCCAGCTGATTTTTCTTAATCATATGTACCACATGTCTTGATTTTGATGATTCCGTTACCTTTAAAACTGATTTATTATTGTTTATTGCTTGATTTTCATTATAAATTATAGTGAAAAATCATACAATAAACTGTATTAATTAGTCTTAATATGGATTTTCATCAAGTATCGGCCAGTTCTATACCTTTGTTGGAATCATAGAAAGTGGGCTTGTTGACTAGACATGTGGTCTGGATTCTTCAAATACCTCCTTCACTGTTTGTACTTCTTATAGAAAAAATTGGTTTTGTTTCTTCTACTATATATTGAAATATTTTCAATCCTTCATCGTATTGTTTTTATTTTTTTCAGGTATATCGCATGGACTTCTTTTCTTTTTGTATCATGTTTCCCTTGTGTCTGCTTGGGTCATATGATATTATTCTTGTTGTTAGTTCACTGACACCATGATTTTAATAATGTCTGCTGTCAATACCATTTCATCCTATACAGCAATATGTTGAACTATAAATTGAATTGTTGGTTCAGTGTTTTTCTTCGATATCACCTGTTCCCATTGTTATTACTTTTAGGGTTATTTTGAGTGATTTTACAACTTAATTCATAACCTCAAAAAATATAATATCAAAACTCGAACTGGTTTTTCTCGGCTTCTCTAGTCTCGTCCCTCATGGGTCGTGATCTGAACTGATAATTTTCATATAAGCCATCGAAATTGCTACAATTTCTTCATTCTCCATTCCTCGGTAGCATTTACCATTTCTTATAATTTGATAAGTGGAATTTGGAACCTTTAGCGTGAAGTTTATCACTTTTTCCTCATTAGAACAAAAATGTTGTCTATCGACGCGCGTTTCGCTAACCAAGTGATTTCAATACATTTCTTCTAATAACATCTAGAATTGCGATGAGTGAACAGAATGATCCTTTCGTTAATGAACATAAGCGAACTTGTCCCATTCCCAGTAATAATTCATTTGTTTATATTCACATAGTTAGGACTAAACTGAATGATTCATGAAATGATTGCAAAAATAAAAAAATACAGTTTCGATGTCCTTTCACACTTGGGAAGAAGACTTATGATGTATTTTTACTCCATTTTTTTTCAAGATCAAAATAATTTTGCTCTACTAGTCATATTAGAAGTGACCAGTTTTCATTACACCAGAATAAACAAATTTTAAACTCTTTCAAAATGTGTTTCATTGTAATTTTACATGCGTTGACCATTATTTTGAAATCTATTTTTTCCAATGTCATACATTTCCGTGATTGACAAATGTCAACAAAAATGCAGTATACTGATAAATGTGCAAGAAAATGAACAGGTACATATGTTTTCAAATGAAAAATTCAGGCACAACTTTAACACACTTTTCCACTCTGAATTGGCTTCAGCACACATTTACTTGCACTGCATTTTGACCAAGAAGCATGTTTTTCTGATACTTCTCACAATCCTTCAGAAAATGTGCATGATAAATATGGTGAATTTTCAAATACTTCTTACATATCTAAGCAATCTAAGTTTCGAAGATTATTTATTGCCAAACAGGAGACATGACGCTAAAATTAAAATTATTGCACTCAATCTTTTTTGCATTGTGGGCCAGAATCGACGAAGAAGATATCAACACTTTGAACTCTTCAGAAAAAACTTCGAATTTCCAATGTATTCTTTGAAGTGAAGAAATATTTGTACCTGAATGTGGGAATCCGAGATTTTCTTACTGAAATATATCTTTTATTAGTATACTTTGAACTGTAATATCTCAGTGAATAATATATTAAAAATGAAAGGAAATTAATTAGCGCTCCGAGGCGACTTCATTGATTCCAGAGGCGCATTTGCTTTTTCAGCTGCAGGAAAACCCGGAAAAACCTGCAGCACCACATCATCTGAAGATCTTGATCTGCCATTTGCACTTTTGCCAACGTAACACAAGTCGATCAGTTCTGTCAGTATAAAAATTGTGTGCTCGGGATTCAATGGAGTCGACGACGACCATTTTTGCCTAGTCCTGATTGGCGAAGGTTCTACCAGTGAGAAAGTTATCAAAGTGCTTGAAAAGATAGTAGTCGGTTTGCGAGAGGTCTGGGAAGTGTAGTGGGTGAGGCAGAACTTCGCGAAGCCCAATCCGTTCAATTTTCGGACTGTGGTTTGTGAAACGAAGTGTTGTCGTGAAGCAGAATCGGACCAGTGCGGGCTGCTGCTGACACAATTTTCGGGACCTTTCGTTGACTTCTTCAACATAGGATTCTTCTGTGATGGTTTGGCTAGTTGCAAGAAGTTATAGTGAATCACACCAGTCGCTGACCACCATACAGTGACCATGGTGGGTTTTCGCCTTTAGGAAGTACCCTGTCCAACGACTGTCCTGAACGTCTTCTATTATCCTAGAGGAACAACTTTTTATCACACGAGACGATTCGATCCAAAAAAGGGTCGTTTTGGTTATGCAAAAGCAAAGAAGAACAGACCTCGGAACGTGGCAATTTCTGTCGATCGTTCTATTCATGGGGCACCCACTTTTCGAGTTTCTTGACCTTTCCAATATGTTTTAAAGCATCATGGGAGCTGACGCCTAGTTCTTTCGCCATCCTAAGCACCGTCTGTGATGAGTCAGTCTCCACCAGGGTCCTCAAGTCCTCGTCCTGGTTTACTGTACTTCAAGGCTAAAATCTCCGTAACAAAATTTTGCAAACCAACGTAGAACAGTGCGTTCATTGTCAAATGCCTGCTTCATTTTTTGGTCTGTTTCGGCAGCGCTTTGTTTCAATTTGAATTCGTATAGAATAACTGGTCGAAAATGGCTTTGGCGACTTCATTGATTCCAGAGGCGCATTTGCTTTTTCAGCTGCAGGAAAACCCGGAAAAACCTGCAGCACCACATCATCTGAAGATCTTGATCAGTCATTTGCACTTTTTCCAACGTAACACAAGTCGATCAGTTTTGTCAGCATAAAAATTGTGTGCTCGGGATTCGATGGAGTCGGCGACGACCATTTTTGCCTAGTCAGGTTCTACCAGTGAGAAAGTTATCAAAGTGCTTGAGAAGATAGTAGTCGGTTTGCGAGAGGTCTGGGAATTGTGGTGGGTGAGGCAGAACTTCGAAGCCCAATCCGTTCAATTTTCAGACTGTGGTTTGTGAAACGGGCGGACGAGTGTTGTCATGAAGCAGAATCGGACAAGTGCCGGCTGCTGCTGACACAATTTTCGGGACCTTTCGTTGACTTCTTCAACATAGGATTCTTCTGTGATGGTTTGGCTGGTTGCAAGAAGTTATAGTGAATTACACCAGTCGCTGGCCACCATACAGTGATCATGGTGGGTTTTCGCCTATAGGAAGTACCCTGTCCAACGACTGTCCTGAACGTCTCCTATTGTCCTAGAGGATCAACTTTTTATCACACGAGACGATTTGATCCAAAAAGGGTCGTTTTGGTTACGCAAAAGCAAAGAAGAACAACAGACCTCGAAACGTGGCAATTTCTGTCGATCGTTCTATTCATGGGGGACCCGCTTTTCGAGATTCTTGACCTTTCCAATATGTTTTAAAGCATCATGGGAACTGACGCCCAATTCTTTCGCCATCCTAAGCACCGTCTGTGATGAATCAGTCTCCACCAGGGTCCTCAAGTCCTCGTCCTGGTTTACTGTACTTCAAGGCTAAAATCTCCGGAACAAAATTTTGCAAACCAACGTAGAACAGTGCGTTCATTGTCAAATGCCTGGTTCATTTTTTGGTCTGTTTCGGCAGCGCTTTGGTTCAATTTGAATTCGTATAGAAAAACTGGTCGAAAATGGCTTAACGACACCATATATCAATAAACTGGAAAGAATCAAAATTTAAAATTGGGAAAAAATGAACAGCATCGATTTATATAGTACAAAATTCTCTATATTCTCTATCGATCAGTATATACCACGACACAGATATGGCGCTACAAAAACAAATGAATTCAAAATGAAAAAAAACTTCTGAAACAACCCATAAAATTAATCTTCCAACGTTCCTACACGTTGGATCTAGTACCGGAAAAAACTACTTCCACGGCTAATACCACGATGTTATCATAAATATTCGCAATTCCAAATACCTGCTCTCTACTGAGAGGCTGGCCTTGATTTGCTGATGTGGATTATTCACTGTCGACTATTTTAGTTGATCCGCAATAATGTGTGGAATTGAAGAAAATACTTGTTTCTTGTATTTTTGACAATTGACAAAGACCCCACTGTCTCCATACTTTTTTCAAAACACAAGCAGTACAGGAAAATCCTTCAAGCTCTTTAAGGGCGGTGTCTGTGCGAAAGTAGCGATTCACAATGGATTTGAGTCGCTGGAGATTAAATCTATTTGGAAAAACGTTCTCAGGAAGTCCATTCCACATAAACGCAATTCTCCAAATGAAATAGTTCTTAAACAGTGAATTTCGAGGTGTACTGAGTTCAACCCCAAAACGATGAGCAGCCACAGTCCGTCGCGTATTTCTGATATGTACCGCTCTTGGTGGAATCAATTTGCCAAGTCACTTGAACACTTCCCGTGAAAGTATCTACAAAAGAGAAACAAATCCCCAACCTTTATTCGATGTTCCAGACTATCAAGGTTGCAAGAGATGTTCGCGTCTCCAGTGAGGCTCTTTTCTGGATGGAATGCAGCAGCTTCACGGTATGCTTAGAGGCGGAGCTCCATACATGAGAACAATACTCCAAAGAAGATCTGATCTGAGCTATATAAAGCATCAAAATTTGCTGAGATATGTACAGTTTTCTGGTTCGGAACAGTGTTCCAAGCTTTTGAATAGCAGCCTTTGCAATTCCAGCGACATGAAAGTGCCAAGACATATTGGTGTACATTTTAACCCCCAACAAACTTATCGAAGCAGAAATCTGAATTGTCTGCCTTAACTTTCTTATATCCTGTTCGGAGACATTCATCTTTTTAGACAAAAACCAATTTCTGAGTTTTTGTGGAATTGAATTGAACCTGGTTAGTTTCACCCCAATTCGAAATCACTTCTAGATCCTCATTTAGATATGCAACGTCCTGCCGCTGGTGAAGATGTGCATCCGCAGCCGACGTCCTGGAATTCAAATGGAATGACGAGACAAGTGTCCTCTCGTCAGCAAAGCAATATATTGGATTCTTCGTTTTTTCCAACAAGTCGTTGATATACAATAATATAAGTATTTCACTTATCAGTTCAAAAGAAAGTTTATAAAAGAACATATTGATTAACGATATGACTGAAAAAAAATGATAACTGCTAACCACACTGTTTCCGTACTTATCCATGTACTGATATCAGAACTCCCTTTGATGGTATTGTGTGGATCCAGTGAAACTTTTTGCACCATTGCTATATTCGGCATCGTTCTTTGTGTAAAGTTGTGTGAATATTGAGTACCTATCTACTCGTATTCTCCAAAAAACCGATTGGCCTTCGAAAGTCGGGTTGTTTTAATTTTGCAGCCAAATTTTACAATTTAATTTGCACGTCTCAACGTCCAAACCCAAAAATCTCATGGATAATGATGGATATGAAAGCATACTGTGCTACTGAATAATTCAATCTTTCACAGATTCTCTGTTTTATGGCAATTATGAATTTCACTTGGATTCTGCTCTTGTCTCCTGCTGGCAGCAAATATTTCTCCGATTATTGTATGTCATTTCATAATGAAGTGGTAAGTTCATTATATTTTCAATGGAAATGACCTTCACAAAACTTAAACTATTTTTTTCGTCTTGTTTATGTATTTTTTAACAAAAAGATAATAAATATTAAAGCTATTCTCAATCACTCATTTTAGGATTGCAAGGACCTTCAATTTCAGCAATAGAGGCCATGGACTATACTTGGCCTCACCTTCTGAGCTACAGAAATTCACGCTATGCTCTGACTTTTGGTACGATTCGTCAAAATAACTGTTTCATTTATGTTTTTATGCGATCATCTTTTCCAGCTCAAATCTCTCCGAAATGATAGGCGAACTGTTCTTGCCCTTAGATATGCCAGAACCTCCAAAGGAAGGATTTTTCAAAGGACTATTCGGAGGCGGGGTACGATCGTTAGACCGAGAGGAACTTTGTGAGTAAATGTTTGAAAATCTAATTCATTACCACCAAAAACCGGCTTATTACACTTGTGGTAACGAAAAATTACTGATATAAATGACATCTCTGTCCTATTGTTTTCAGCATACGGGGTACACTTAGGGAACATTCTTTGTATCTAGTCGGATAACTATGTTCAATGTTTTTGGTGTTATATGCATTTCTGTGTTGATATAATGCCAGATACAGAACAAATAACTGATGAATATCTAGTAATTCAGCATCTTTAAAAAGCTGATCACTAGAATATCTGTAACCGTTTCCAGTGATTATTACATATTACATAATACATTATTTTTAAATGTTTAATATCAAAAAAATTTTTTAAATATCAAAATTTGGGTAAGCAGTGTCTTACTTTTTTTATGACGTTTTCAACAGAGAACAAAATACCGAAACAGATTGGATGCACTTCAGATTTTCGCATCCACCTGTCGGACAAAAAGCCTAATTTCAGTAATATTATAAGAAAAAATGTTACAAAACTTCATTCTTCTTCTGTTTCATCAAAATTATTATTTTTCATTTATAATTTTTTGTTTCTTCGAGTCGTAACATAAAAATACTCAAACTACTAATGTGAATGAACAGTTCAGTTATCGAATTAACCAGCTAGGGTTCCGTCAAAAAAATATATGCTCAATTAGAGTTTCGTGGCCAAATAAAATTGGAAATCCCTGCTTTGAGGAATCCTCAATGAAGGATCTTTTGCTTTAAGGAATCCTTAAGTACTCATCCGCATATTAAAGTAAAATATGAAGTAAAAGTGTAGTATATGGACGCTCCCATTGATTCACGTTGTGACAACTTTCTTAAAGTTAAAGTTTGGTGTATGAAAACTCATATTGTTTTACATTTTAATGGATCGGTCATGTCGAAGTTTTCTAAAAAAATATCTTATTTTGCAGTCGGAGAATCTAGCGGGAAAGCCAGCAAGGCGGTTGCTAAGCATATACCAGGAAATATTTCCGATCTAAATCAAAGAGCAACTAGCGCTAGCAGTGAGGTCAATCGTGCTCACAAACTCATGTTGGAACGTGGAGAAAAGCTGAATCAACTAGAGGAAAAAGCAGAACGAATGAGAAGCGAAGCTGAGAATTTCTCTTCTTCGGCTCATGAACTCATGCTCAAGTACAAAGATAAAAAATGGTATCAGTTGTGAAGTGGTTAGTTATTTTTATAATAATCTGAAAAATATTGGTAACTGTACAGTTTTTCGTACTAGAAAAGTAGTATGATAATAGTCAATAGATGGATAAGTAATGGTAAGTGACAATTAAATCCCTCGCCGTATTCCTTCAAAATGTCTTCTTGAATTTTCTAAGTCCAAGGATAAACAAGTAGTTTCTCAATATTCAAAAATAATAATGAATGGTATCTGATGACGTAGCGTTGAAAATCATGTCAGCAGATTTTTTATTGGTATATTATTCACAAGTGTAGCTTTTTTTTAAAAATCAACCGTTTTCTAAGTAATTTAGTCTATGGGTTGTACCCTAGGCGTATTTCACCTTATAATATAAATGATAATGTTTAAACAGCTTTACTCAAACAATAACCGGGTTCGAAAGAGAAATGATAATCTGTAGATTTTTTCGATAGTAACAGAAGATGAACCTTTCGAAAATAAGTTTTCATATCTCATTCAATTTTTACGAGTCTACGGTTTTTCTCCTAGGGTGTTTGATTCGTCACTTACGATCCACTAAAACTTCTTAAACTTAATGCGAATTGTGATATTCTATTCTGCCTGTGGGAGGACAGATCATGATAACGTTATTTTAACTTCAAATATGATTTGGTACTATTTTGAAATGACACTTGGTTCTCGCATCCCAAATGTCTTGCCATAGAGTATGTTCATGATGATAGAGTATTTTATAGAACTAGAGTATTCTTGTAGCAACATTTTTTTACCTCTGCTACTGAATATTATTTTCCGAATGTGGTATGTTAAATGCAGTGTCGATATCTATTCAGCTTTTTTGACGAAGTACTCGTTCAATAGCTGCAGATTTTTTCAGAAGTACCTAGTCGATTAAAACAATGGAAAAGTATTATTCAATACTTTTCTGTATGAAGTTTTATAGAGCCTTTTAAGGGTAGATCTTTCTTAAACAAATTAGACCTTCATTCTCAAAGAAATAATATCTTCAGGTAATAACACCTAAAAATTCTTGTAGTTAAATTTTCATATCAGGTTCAACATCATTGATAAAGTGATAGTAAATTTCAGTTAGTTTAAGAGAAAAAGGGTTTTGTTTTCTAAAGTATTTTCCTTCGAAAGTC